TTGCATACCAGAATTAGTCCCACACTGCCCAGACAGCACAAAAAAATATTTATATATATTTTTCTTTCTTTTTTCTGAATTTTTCTTAAATTTTCCATTTTACTGTTTTATATGCTAATTAATTCAATTTAAATTGTATTTCAAAAATTTGCTTATCATTGCTGAGATTTGAACCTGGGACCTCTGGTTCTCAAGTCGTTTACCTTACCTACTGCACTACTGTCACTTTGATTGAAAAATACTTAATGTTGTATACATATGATATATCCATGTACAAAGACAAAAAAAAAGTATATTTAAAAAATATTTACTTATTTTACAAGTAAATAAAATACAAATAAATCGTTTTGTAAATTTAAATAAATTGTTTTCTGATAATAAAAGGAACTTTAATTTGGAACACAAAAAAGATATTTTTAATATTAGAAAATAAAAAGATACTTTTAATATTAGAAACTTTAATTTGAAATACAAAAAAGATATTGGGTTGGGGGAGCGGTGCACTTGGACACGGTGCATTTGGACACAGCCAATCATAGCACCGTGTGATTAGAGACATTTGTAGGGTTCCTTGGAACAGCGACTTGTGATTGGACTGTGTCCAATTGCCCCGTGTCCAACTGATATACACCCATTGAGTTGGCCAATAAGTCCGTGCGGTTTTTTTCGATAGATGACTTCAAGGCACTCTGCTAAGCTTTATCTTCAGTCGAAAGTCTTGAAAGCGTATAATCATTGACAGATTACATTTCAACATGCATTTAAAAATATACGTAAAGATTGCTTGTGTACCTTGTGTGTTTTGCGTCATCTGAAAGTGGATAACCAGAACGAGCATTTTCAGCATATTATGCTTTTTTATTTTAAAAAAGGCAAAACCGCGGCGTAAACCTGTAAAAAGATTTCTGCAATATACTAGTATAGTGAGGATGTCGTGAAAAAAAAAGTGTGCCAAAAGTGGTTTGCGAGATTTCGTTGCGGAGATGTTTCCGTCAAAGACAAACCACGCTTAGGCCGACCAAATGAAATCGACAGCGACAAATTGAAGGCGGTAATCGACACCAATCCACTACATGACGCGAGAGATTGCAGACGTTCTCCAAATATCGAAATCGAGCGTGAGAAACCATCAACTTGGTTATGTTAACCGTTCCGATGTTTGGGTTCCGCACGAACTGAGCGAAGCTCATTTAATCCAATGCATTTCCATCAACGATTCACTCGGAAAACATGAGAAAAGCGATCCATTTCTGAAGCGTATAACTCTACGACGAAAAATAAACCGTCTACAATAACATCAAGCGCAAAAGATCGTGGGGACAGCACAGAGAACCGCCGGCGAACAAGGCGGCAGGATTTCGAAGGTAGAGCTTCACCCGAGCAGATCATGCTCTCAATTTGATGAGATTGGAAGGGTGTTGTGTTCTACGAGCTACTTCCGAAGGACAGAACGATCAATTCAGATGTGTACTGTAGTCAGCTGGACAAATTGAATGTAGCGATCCACGAGAAGCGTCCAGAATTGGTGAATCGTAGAAGCGTCGTCTTTCACCATGACAACGCTAGGCTGCACACATCTCTACAAACCCGACAAAAATGATTGGCGCTAGACTGGGATGTCTTACCACGTTATTCTCCAGACCAGTCCGTATTCTCCAGACATTGCACCTTCAGATTACCATCTATTTCGCTCCCTTCAGAATTTCTTGAATAGAAAGCACTTCGTTTCTGAGGAAGCTGTCAAACGACATTTGGAACAGGTTTTTTGTCGAGAAAGACAGGAAGTTCTTTGAACGAGGAATTATGAAACTGCCCGAAAGATGGCAAAAGATAGTAGATAACAACGGCCAATACATAATTGAAAAAGTAATAATTTTAAAGTTATTACCTTCTATAAAAATAATCATCGATCATTTATAAGTAAAAAACCGCACGGACTTATTGACCAACCAATATTTTTAATATTAGAAAATAATTTATTTAGATTTATAAAATGATTTACTTATTTTATTTACTTTTAAAACAAGCAAATATTTATTTAAACATAGTTTTTACATTTTAAAAAACTAATTTTATTTTTGTAAAGAAATAATTTGCTTATTCTTATATATAGATATTTTAAATAAAAAAAAATAATTTTTTTCTTTAGAAATTCATAATTTTACAGCTTATTTTACAAATTTAAAAAATATTACTGTAGAAATAAGGTTGTAAAAGGTGGAAAAATAATTCCACAAATTGTCGATGTTAATTAAAATTTAATATATACGGGTTTATCGGAACAATGACTAGAAGAACCGTTTCGCACAATAAATTCATTGGCTTTTCCTGTCTTGTTTACTTCTTCGGCGATCTCGTCTCGTCTCTGTGTGTCACCTCGTCATCTCAGTTTATATCTCAATTGTCACGAACGTGATCGTCAATATAAATAATAATACAGGAGTTATACATTTTTCGAACGCTTATACAAAATCTTTTTCTTACACTCGGCCGTCCTGACCGAACAATCTTTCTGAGTGTTCATACATTCGGCTTCGCTGTCGAGCGGATCGTCACCATCGGAGCCCACCCCGGGCTTCATGAAATCAGCGGCCGATGCCGTTTGCAGAGGTCCCTCATGTTCGTCAATTTTATGCACCAAATATCAATCGTTACGCAGAATTCTAGTAACCTCGTAGAGTCCAAGATACTTATGAAACAGCTTTAATTCTGGGTCTCGCTGAGTTCGCCTAATTACGACGAGGTCATCCTCACGATAACATAATGCCTTCTTTCTCGTCTTATCGTAGCTCTTCTTATTCTCTTGCTGTACTTCCGCGATATTCTCTATCGCCCGTCTTCTCAGCTCATCTCGGTCACCTTGAAATAAATTAATCTCCTCATGTTGCAAAAGAGCCGTATGTCGGAGCCGGATCGTCGCAAATGCGCGGATTGACACTAAACAAAAGAAGAAATGACGCCATGCCAATACTTCTATGCAACGTAATATTCAAACATTGCTGCGTCGTATTCAAATACTTGTACCATTCGCCAGATTTCGAAGCGGACAACGTCGTCAGTAATGTGATTAACGTCCAGTTAACCCTTTCAACTTGTCTGTTACCCCGCGGTACCCCCGTAGTAATCAAAGAATGCTCAATGCCTTCATGCCGACAATATTCTTCGAACTCCTTGGAAGTAAACGCGACGCCTGTTGAATCCGAAACTATTCTCCTAGGGTTCCCAAAAATAGCAGACTGTTTTTTCAATCGATCTATCACCTCCGCGGCGCCCGTTGATCTGGTCGCGTACAACCACACAAATTTGAAGAAAATATCAACAACAATGAAAACGTGGGCATAGCTTTTCTTCGTCGATGGCAACGGATCCAAATGATCAATGTGGAGAGTATCTAATGATATACCTCCTTTCCCAATAGGGTTGAGCATACCCTCCTGCTTCCCTTGCTTCCGTTCGGCTAAGATACAGGCGACGCAATTACGTACGACCATTTCTACCTTAGATCGCAATCCAATAGTCATTGCACAGCAGCGCTTCAGTCTTAGCGGCTGAAAAATGCCCTCGTTCATGTGCTTTTCGTATTATCTGCATTTGTATTAATTTAGGCACAACAAGGCGTGCCTCATCCTCAACCTTCTTATACAGAAGTTCTCCTCGCAAAGCATAATTGTTTGCTCGTCCTTGTCTCATAGAGTCCAAAATCAGTCTCACCTCGTTGTTCTTTTGTTGAGCTTTCTTAAGACGAGCCATCAATCCCTTTTCACAGTCGTCAACAACCAGATAAAAAGAGAGAGGATTCCTGCTCAGCGTGTCTACGTGGAGCATACTTTTACCCGGCCGGTGCTCTACTGTATAACGAAATTCCTCCAACAACAAAGCCCATCGGACTACACGCACGCAGAGATCTTTTTTGCTCATCGTAAACGCAAACGCACGACAGTCAGTTACAATTTTAAAATCTATACCGAAAAGAAATAGATGCGGAATTGCTTAAGTGCTTTAATAATTGCGAAGACTTCCAACTTATAGCTTGAATATTTCTACTTCGCTAATGTAGTTTTGCTGCTCGCATAGTAAACAGAATGTAACAACTGATCCTCGCTATTTCGCTGTAAGAGAATTGCCCCGTAACTATATTTTGACGTATCTGTGTGCAATTCGGTCTCAGCGCCTACGCGGTATAAACTTAACACCAGATGGTCACATAAAAGAATCTTCAGTTGACTAAATGCATTTCTCTCCGCCGCTTCGAAACAAAAACTAGCTTGCGCCCTCAAAAGATCGGACAATAGCCGCGTGATCGCCATGTATCTCGGAACGAATTTACGGAAATATCCCGTCAGTCCTAAAAACGCTTGTACCTGACGAATGGTTTTGGGTATAGGGAAATGCCTTATAGCTTTGGTTATAGCCTTACGTTCAGACGGTCGGACGCCTATCACATGTCTAAGAAATTCGACCTCCCTTCAAAAAGCAACATTTATGCCAATTTATCAACAAGCCGGCGTGACTAACAGTAAGGATTACTCTCATAAGATTTCTCAGACCATCATCAAAATCGTTGGAGAGCACAATCAAATCATCCATGTAAATTAATATGTTATACCGTCCCTTATTAAATCTCTAAAGATCGCGTTAACATACCTCTGGAAAACGGAAAGCGAATTGCAGAGACTGAAAAGTACCCTCAAAAATTCGTTGTGGCTATCAGGGATGATGAACACGGTATATTTCACGCTCGCCTCATCCACTCGTACATGAAAAAAACCATTCTTCAAATCAATAGTGCTGTAAACTTTAGCGCCCTGTAATCTATCGAGCTGATCTTCAATCAGCAGCAAAGGATACCGGTCTTTTATTATCTTTATATTTAATAGTCTATAGTCTACCCAAAGTCAATACGAGCCATCCCTTTTCTTCACCAGGGCTAGCATAATCAAACAAGGAAGGGCGAATAATCTCTTGCCTTTCCCACTCTTCAATTTGATTGTTAACAATACCTTTCGAATGGTGATAAACGCCTCGCACGCTGATACACGGATTCGTCGTCCTTCACAATAATAGTCATTTTTATATCCATTTCGCACGCTTGATTCGGCCTGTAATCTTTAATTAACGTCGCAACGGCGTGTCTACATTCAGGATCTTGGATATGTTCTATATCTATCTCATTCGGCCCATATGTATCTTCTATATCAATCTGAAGTATCTCAAGCAAATCATCATCGTCGACTGTTTGTTCAGAAATCGGCTTAATCGTAACTGTTTCGAACAGCCTTAGGCGGTGAGCGGCTAGTTCATATGCCGTCGAACGTTCGTCGACTACTATAGTCGATTGCGCGAGTATAGATCGTGCTCTCCTATTCAGGAGCCTCGTAAGATGGTGTGAGGAAGTACAAGAGTGCTCTTGTGGATAAGAGCACGGCGTGACCCAGGGCACGCGTGGAATTGCCCGGCGCCTCCGCGCTAGAAAGAAATCCCCCTTTCGGAGGGTAATGATCACTCAGAGTATTGAGACACGTATCCGTCTTCTTTGTGAGTGTCGGAGTCTAGTCTGAACAAGATTCAGCTCAGATTGGCGAGGGAGCAACAGAGGCTGAATCTGAGGTGTTGGACTGGTGAGCGTTGCTCGCCTGAACAGTCGCGCACGCGGCGAATGCTATGTCTCGCAGTGAGAGCCTAAACGCGAATGTAACTCTGAATCGCGTACGCAGCCGAGGCGTGGCTTGACGTTGACGTACGTTGACTACCGCGTGCGTGACGAACGCTAAGTCTCGTCGAGACGAGAAGCGAATATTCCTCGCGTATGGAGTCGCAGATGCGACGACGTAGGAATCTTGAGTAGACTTATGCCAGCGATCGTGTGTCGCGGGAGCGCTATGCTCCTGGCAGGGAAGTAATAGCGAGCGTATCTCGCGTGAGAGCTGCGACCCTGGCAGCGAAGCAATAGCGAGCGTGTCTCGCGCGGAGTCGTGAGCCCGACAATAAGCTCGTTCAGCCCGAATACCCGGTGCGTGCACTGTGGGAGATGTCGCGAAGTGAGACGTCCACCGCGGTGGAGGCGTCCAAGTAATCCGAAGTGGTCGCGCGAAGCCTTCTCTCAATTCTGGATCGTATTGAGAAGGTGGCGATCCGTGGAGTCACCTAGACACTCCGTAACCTAAATGCCAACGTGTCTTCGGACGACACTCTAGAGGCAATAGCCCAACGTGCAAACGCACTCTAAAAGGCTGCGGAGAGTTGTGTAAGTCCTAAACATAAATGCCAACGTATCTACGACACTCTAAAGACAGTGAAGATCGATGCAGATATCCAAAAGGAATACCTCTGGCGAGGCAAATGCCCAACGTGTTTGCGCACTCAAGAAAGCGATATGAAACTAGAGTTTAAAAAAATACCTCAACGAGGCAGTGACGTGATGTGCAACCGTAGTCAAAAGGCTGGTGAAAGGCAAAAGGCCTCGAGTGGTCTCGCGCGGCGCCTTATATAGGCGCCGAAGCGAGAATTAACCGCGAGAAGCGGTTCCGGCTGACGCAATCGCCGCGTCGCGGCGACGGCGTGCACTGGCGGCGGGAGGCCGGCGACCGCGAGTTGAGCGACGCCTGGGGCCCGGCCGCCCGCCGTACACGCTCCGCACGGACACCCAGCTGCCGTCCGGAACAGTAACTATGCCTCGTCTAACGTTAGTTTCCACTATATCTAGATAATCTGTACTAATTAGCAACTTATGTCGCGACACTGCATCCGAAACGACTCTAATGAGCATCAGGGAAGAATGTCCGTCAACAGTAAGCCTCGCGTGAAACTCTCCTAAAGTAGTTATTTCGCCAGATCCCACGCCCGAAAAACGAACTTTAGTTGTTTGGGATTGAGGTGACCCTATCTCTACATACTGATCCGCATGCATAAGAGAGATATCGCTGCTTGTATCTATAAGCGCTTCGACTTTTATTCCATTTATTAGAACATCCTTAGTATACTTCTTTCGCGAAGAGAGTGTTACGGCACAAAAGTTTCCAGTCACAACGATCTTCTTCTGATATTTCGAGGTCACGTGCCCGAATTCTCCGCACTCAAAACATTTCGTACCCAAAGCTCACGATGGGCAACTAGCACCAAGGTGATCTCGCGCGCCACATTAAAACATCGCTTAATGTTTGGCATTATTTTCTTTCTCTCAACGTAACCGTCGTTGTTGTTTATCCTCTCACTATCCGCCATCCTGCTCTCTCGCTCCATCGTCATCGATCTACCCGTTCGTCTGTCCGCTCGATTCAAATTCGTATGACAATCGCGCAATGTTACGGTTCTGAGTGCCTCTAATAACGATTCTGTTTCAGCAAATCGTTGTATACATGCCTGATTTTGCAATATATTGTCTGGTATACCATCTATAATATAATCTATAATCTCATCGGCTTCAACCGGCACATGATTCCCTAAAATAACTTTCTCGTGAACGTATTCGTGGAAAGTCTCATCCTTTCTCCAAACACGCGCTTCGAATTTTTTACGCTTTGCTATTCTACTCTATCGGTGGCAAAACATCGCTTTTATCTCGTCAAGTAGAGCGTTAAAATTTATGCCGATAAATTCGGGCCTCGAATGAAACCACTCAAGAGCCTTTTTTCAATCTCATCCCGATTATGATTTTGGCCTGATCATCTCCCAGCTGATATGTCGTTTTTAGAAGTTTTATTTGTTTCTCTCAAGTATCAAAGTCGCTAGAAGTACCGTTGAAGTCCGCCAACAAATCTGCGATCGTCGTCAAATTCAATCGCGAATACACCGCACCATCGCCGCCATCCGCAGCTACTCTTCTCCGCTAGCCACCCTGGCCGTCCCGCTCTCGCAACAAAGCGATTTCATATCGGGCAAGCTCAAGTTCGCGTATAGCGAGCTCCTTCTTACGTCGACATACTTCGAGCTCCCGCCGATGCACATCCTCATAATGAGGATCGTTCTCATCGAAACAATCACCACTAGCCTCTTCCCGGAGGCACTCCTCCAACCACTCATCCAGCGGGTCTGCGTCTATCAAACAGGCAACGAGCTTAGCTTTGCCTCCCGTCGTGGATAACCTATGTGATTAGCTCCTTGAGCCTAACCACAGTGGGATCCGCCATAGCCACCGTCGCAAAACACCCGTAGCCGGTACGCGTCACAGCCTCCTCGTCGTCAGTTCACTGCACGCGCAATCGTCGTCCATCTGCGACTTCTACGACTCTACTGCCTCTTCGTAAATACAGGCAATGTCCCACTCCTCCACTCGCACCTTCAGGCTCCTTGCAACTTCTCAAAATATCTTACTCAAAGCTCCTTTTCGCAAAAGACAGTATCATCTTTCTTCGTAGGTCGTCACCAAACGAGTTCTCTCTCGATCCCGGCTGAGCCCCCAAAATATTTGTAGAAATAAGATTGTGATAGAGAAATAATTTCACAAATTGTCGATATTAACTAAAATTTAATATATACAAGTTTATCAGAACAATGAGTAGAAGAACTGTTTCGCACAATAAATTCGTTGACTTTTCCCGTCTTGTTTACTTCTTCGGTGATCTCGTCTCGTCTCTGTATGTCGCCTCATCATCTCGGTTTATATCTCGATTGTCACGAACGTGATCGTCAATACAAACAATAATATCGGAGTTATGCATTTCGAACGCTTATACAAAATCTTTTTCCTACATTACTTCATATTTATTACATATTTTGTAAAATTTAACAAATATTTTTTTCAGTTAAGAAATTATATTTAACAAAATATATTTCTTTAATTTAAAGAATTTCTTTTCAGTGTATATATATTACCAATTTAAATTTCGATTTTCTTATTTCCTCATTAATTTAAAAATTATAAATAATTATATTTATTTTTTATGTAATATTTATAGAAATATTTACACACACAAAATATTACTACAAATATTTATTTTTTGTTTACTATAAATATTATATAAAATATTTAGTCTATATTTTAGTAATATTTTGAATAAAAATTTTGATACTTTTTCCTTTATGTATATAAAATATTTATATGATATTTTTAAAACATAATTCGAAATAAATATTTATAAATACTTATCATAAATATTGTGTGCTGTCTGGGCGGTCGCTGGCATTTACCTGACATTAGTTAACTTACAAGGGGAGGACCAGGTGACTCACCCTGGGATTTCGACCCCAATTTTTTTAATTATTCTGGAGATGAAAAAAAAGATACGTGTCCCGGCGTTTGATTGAATAGGCCTTAGTTTCAGAATAATAAATTTGTGAAAATTGGCCACATCCGAAGCGCGCCATATGAGCCTTCCCGGTAACTGTACTTTCAACCAGTGCAATTGGCTTCGTGAGTTAAGTGCTTGCTTCATAATTTGTAAGATCCAAGTTCGCTCACGGAGGTGAGCAATAATTTTTTTTTTAATGAGTGTTTTTATTTATTTTTATTTATTTTGATGATATTGATATAGTATGCAAATTTTTGAAATAGAAAATTTAATTTAATATCACATTCTAAACATTAATTTAAATTTAATTTTAAGGGAATTTTAATTCAAGTAATAATATTTGAAATAATAAATAAGTAATAATAATAATATATAAGTTATTTGTAATGGATAACATATAAAGGCAACGTATCTAAATTTTCAAATTGTTTAAATTTAAAATTTAATTGAAAATAATATTAACAGTATTTTAAATTTCTAGTTTTTAAAATAATTAATCGTAGAAGAAGAAGAATAAACAAACATCTGAAATGTAAATGTGAATATTTTTATTACAAAATTCAATTATTTAAGTATTGCGGATTTATTACAAAATTAAATTATTTCGATGCGGAACAATTACTTGGATGATAAACATCATAAAAACATTTAAAGCATATAAATTTTCTATAGTTTGCACAATGAATAAATGAAAGAGTATCACATACACATTTATTTTTCCGTAAGTCCGGGGGAAAACATATTTCGTTGACGTTTCGAAACACATTTCTTTCAGGAATTAATTTCGATGCAAACCAAGCGTACTTGATCATATCTGTAAAAGCTCCCAATGATATTGTGAATGAATTAAAGAATGAATCTTTTTATACTATATCTTTTTATACTATATCAATATCATCAAAATAAATAAAAATAAATAAAAACACTCATTAAAAAAAAAAATTGCCACCTCCTTGCTCACCTCCGTGAGCAAACTTGGATCTTACGAATTATGAAGCAAGCACCTAACTCACGAAGCCAACTGCACTGGTTGGAAGTACAGTTACCGGGAAGGCTCATATGGCGCGCCGCGCGATGCGCTTCGGATATGGCCAATTTTCACAAATTTATTACTCCGAAACTAAGGCTTATTCAATCAAACGCCGGGACACGTATCTTTTTTTTTCATCTCCAGAATAATTAAAAAAATTGGGGTCAAAATCCCAGGGTGAGTCACTTGGTCCTCCCCTTGTTAGTTTAATAAGATAAAAGTACCATAATCCGGACATGTACAGTCTGTTTGATAAGAGCGTGTCCGACAAAACTTTTATATACAGGGTGTCCCAGTTACAGGATATGTAAGACGTGCCAAAAGAAAAATATAAGTAGAACAGATAAAAGTGAACAAAAATTTTAAAGGTCATTTTTCAAACAACCACGTAAAATTTTAAGATATTAATTAAAATATTTGGACATATCAGAACGCGGCAGACGGGACATATGGCCGGCGAAAAAAAATGGATGATTGTTAGCGGGTCTATTTTATAGGTCAGAGAGATGGGCCGTTTGACATATGAAAATGAGTAGCTCCGTGTATACGTCCGCGTACACGCACCGGCGTTAATGCCGTCCGTACATCCGTGTAATTCGCACACGATGACGCGTCATCCACACACTGCTGCCTGTAGGTGAGGCAGGAGCAGCACGGAGTGGCGGAGGGGGCTAGCGGTATACGATCGTCGGACGTTTGCAGAGGGAATAATGGTGGGAGTCGCGGCGATCTTCCATCCTTTATCGCAGATATAAGAGCGAAAGAGATAGAATTATAAGACGTCGTGGACAGAAATGCCGTCCTAAAATACGTGTAACGTAACTAAGAAAACGCTCAACTCACACTGTCTCGTCTATACGTGAACAATATGCGGTGTTCCGACGACTGTTTCGCTCGCTCGAACATGCATGCATTCTTTCTTGTTAGCAAGGAAATCACTGTAATGTAAAAGGAGATCTTGGAGAAGGATTTTCAGGAGGTTTCTTAATAACTGCTCTTGACAAAAATAAATAAATATTAGATTATTACATTTATTTCAATATAGAATACTGCATCAATATAGAACACTACAATAGTACAGCGCTTGTATGGATTGTCGAAGTAGAATATTTTTAATTTTAGTGTTGCATAAACACACGAGATATAATTATTTCATATTTTATGCGTTCGAATATCGTTCCATCGTTATAAAATTTGGTAGTCCTGAAAAGGGCCGATTTTTGCGCCTGTTTCAAATAATTATTGTTCCTTATTATTATGGATACAGAAATGCAACCCGTTTCTGCTATCATCGTCCGTTTTGTTCGTTGTCTGGGAAGAACTTCGGCTTCGACCCGATTTTCTCGCGAACTTGATTGATTCGATACTTAATCGATTCAATCAAGTTATCGACCGTGCCGGATATTGGACTGACTATTAACTATCGACCTCAATTTCTTTGACACAAAAATCGGCTCTTTTCAGGCCGACCAAATTTTATAATGATGGAACAATACTCGAACGCATAAAATATGAAATAATTATATCTAGCGTGTTTATGCAACACTAAAATTAAAAATATTCTCCGACAATCCATACAAGCGCTGTATTGTTGCAATGTTCTATATTGATGCAGTATTCTATATTGAAATAAATGTAATAATCTAATATTTATTTTTTTTAAGAGCAGCTATTAAGAAACCTCCTGAAAATCCTTCCCTAAGATCTCCTTTTACATTACAGTGATTTCCTTGCTAATAAGAAAAAATACATGGATGTTCGAGCGAGCGAAACAGTCGTCGGAACACCGCATATTGTTCACGTATAGACGAGACAGTGTGAGTCGAGCGTTTTTTTAGTGTGCGTCACATGTATTTTAGGACGACATTTCTGTCCACGACGTCTTATAATGCTATCTCTCTCGCTCTTACATCTATGATAAAGAATGGAAGATCGCCGTGACTCCCACCACTATTCCCTCTCCAAGCGTCCGACGATCGTATACCGCTAGCCCCCTCCGCCTCATTGTGCTGCTCCTGCCTCACCTACAGGCAGCAGTGGTGAGTGACGCGTCATCGTGTGCGAGTCACACGGTATACGGACAGCATTACGCCGGTGCGTGTCACGTATTGCGCGGGGGAAAGGCGGAGCCCCTCCCCCTGCACCCCCTCCCCAAAAAATTAACCCTAACCAAGCCCATCATGTACGATAATTAAAAATCTCGACTATACTAAACTAGATTAGGCGAGTTTTTTAATTCATCGATGGATCCATCGCATGATGCGTAAATACAGCGAAACGTTGCATTTGCGCATCATGCGATGAATCCATCAATGAATTAAAAAACTCGACCATCACTAATAAGGGCTTCGAACGTGTGTCGCGTAAGGTTTTCGATTGCATGCGAGAAAATGGCGGCGGTCCTGTGTGTGTGACGTTGTGTGTATGACATGTCACTTATGTGAATACTTACAACGTAAAATGTGAGTCAGCGTGGCCATTAAATTACTGTCGTAAAACCAAAAATGATAGCATCTTATTGCATCAAAAAATGTCGTAACAAAAAAATAGATGGTATTGGATGTTATTGGATGGTATTGGATGTTATTTGCTCTACTCATTTTCAACAAAAGAATTTTAGGAAGCGTCCTAATTGCGTACAGTACGATTGCACACAACCAATCGATGATAAGAATTATCTAGTGAATTACCAGATCAAACCAATCATTACAATTTGTGGTCAATAGTACTGTCGGCAATCGGGACCCTCCCGAATTTTATGACTAAACGTAATGAAAATATGTGCCATTTTCTTGCATGCACCGGAAACTCTATCAGACACAAGCCATTATATGCTTTTAGATAGCCTGTTAGCAATCTAGTTTAGTATAGACATCCATGGGTTTAGAATGTTGCATTAAATAGGTTAAGTTAGGATTAGTTTTTTGGAAAGGGTTTGCGGGGGGAAGGCCCCCGTCTCTCCCCCGCGCAAACACGTATACTTTGTGCATATAGTGAGATGTCTGTATATAATATATATATACATACAATCGGAAAACTACAGTCCAAGTAATCAACTTCTTTTGTTCATAACTTTTTAATAAAGAGAGACCTAAAATTTTATAAATGTTACTCAGGGATATGTCCTTGACAACATATGTGAAGTTCAAGGTCATCGGCGAGGTATCCCTTAATAAGCATAATTACTCAACTTTTTTTATATATAAAAATTTTTTATTAAGAAAGCAGATATAACTAAATTAAATTAAAATATTAATAATAAAACTAACTCTAGGTTGTATTCAATAGCCGCTTCAAATACTTTAGTTTTATGTATATCTCTGACTTTTATTATATGAAATATTTGGACTACATAGTTTATTTTTGTAGTTGTATTAAATAATAGTTTTGTAGTTGTATTAAATAATATTATAAGAAAATTATAATTACTGCTTCGGCTGCATATGGGGATAATAAAAAACGCTCAGTATCAGTTGAAGAAATAGCGCAGCAGCCAAGATGATAAACTAGGAATCTAGAAATATCTGTCTCGAGTTCGCGTCCGACTAGTACCGAGTAAATTTTCAAGTGTGAAAATAGTGAGAAATCAAATAAAAGAGTTAAATTTCATTTAAAATCAATATAAATTGATATAATTAATATAACTAAACTGAATATAAATATTTCTTTATCAAGAGTTTCTTATTAAAAATATTGAGAGGTTCTAGATATATTATATTAACTTTAATATATAACGTTCCGTATAAGGTTTCTGTAGTGTTAATGGAATGAGCATGGACGAACATTTTCATGTTCGTTAGTGACAGGTTTATTAACCTCCGTGTAATGTTACCATCTTACAATTTAAGATTGCTGTAATCTTATGGCAATATTAATGCGCTGTGAGGAAAAGAATATGAAATATAAAAAAAATAGAGTTCCTCATTTAAAAAATTCAAGATGACCTTGCCCTGATCTTAGCGATGCTACCCAAGATCAAACTGATAGAATTAGTAAATAAATCTTTTTAAACCCTACAACTTTTATCTGTGAAACAGTTTTCTATAAAACTTATATTTTTCGAGATATTTCGAAGTCCTTTTCGGAGTATTTTTTTACCTTATATATATACAGGGTATCTATTTCAGAAATCAAAAAGACACAATAAAAAAGGAATTAATACAATAATTTTTAAGTAATCTAAAACCGAAATTATCATTATGACTAAAAAATTACGTTAATATGGTCAACATGACATCAGGTTGATATTATTTTCATTTATCTGCTTTCCTTAAGAGTTAATAACCCTAATTAAAAATTTTTTTAACATACATACGTCATGAAAAAGTAAAGAGAACAATTGTAAACAGGATACAAGAATTTATGATCTTAAAATATAGTAAAATTTTTATACTAAATGCTCTCTTTCTTTCTATAGTGTCATATTTTGCAGATCCCATATCTGAAATTATACTATGAACATGTATCCTATCGTTTTTACTTTCTTTTCTATAACATCACATATCATAAGTTTAAATTTTGTACAATTTGTTTATATCTCACAACTTGAAGACCCCCTTACAGACTAAAGCATGAATATTTTCATTCAGTATTTCAATATTCACGAATAGTTTGGTAAAGTAGCAGTACTTAAATATGTATTTGTTGGTATATCAAATATATCATCAGCCCTAAGTTAGAAAATCAGCTAACTCGAATTTTTTAAATTAAAATACTTATTTCGTCCGCATGTGTCGAAATTCTGCATAGTTTGGAGAATTTTCTGTAAAATTGGAATTTTGTGAGTTAGGTTTTCTAATTTGGTCTACAATATATATAGCTAAACGTTATTGAACATTATATCCAAGGATAGCATACAATAATTATTAAAATTATTTTTAAAGACAAATTTTAATACTCAGAGTCAAAAACATCATACAAAATAGTACTATTCAGGTTTATGTTTTATTCTCCTATTTAATGTTCGTAACGAAGGTAAAGGAAAATTACGAATCAATTCTTCATAACCTGTACTTCCACATGCCAACTTTAATTTCAGTGCTTTTTGTATAGTATTAGCGCACCATATTGGAACCTTTTTGAATTCGCCTGACAAAAGTTTTACTTGGCTATCATCTAAAATCTTCTTAACATTTGCTACTAGTGTATTTGAAGTAAGTGCTTGTTGTTGTAGAAGTTTTATTTTACGTTTTGCAATTAAAAGTTTCTGTTTTGCATGTCTGTGCAAACGATCAACTTTTGTAAAAACTTTAAACATTTCTTCCATTTTTTTTTCTTTCTGTAAGCAACTAGGGCACGAATTTAAAACTTCATTTGGTGTATGTTGCACAAATTCTCCATCTTCTATTTTTATATTTTCAATAGTTATATCTATGTCATGGTCTACATCCTTATTTTCCATTGGTTCATTTTCATAAATTGTGGACGAATTTTCTTGTGTAAGTAAGTTCTCACTTGGCGTAAAGTCTTCTATAGGTCTTCTATATAGGTCATCTCTGTTTTCCATTTTTATAAGTAAGCTCTCAGTTGGCGTATAGTCTTTTATAGGTATATGTGTATCTTTATTTTCCATTTTTGTAATTATTAACTCTTCTGGAACTGGAAAAAAGTATATAAACACATATTATAATTATATTCATAAAGAAAAAATATTATTTGATCGTTTATTCAATTTCTTATATGGTACCTAATCTTTACTATTAAAAAATTTGTTATGTATATTTCAACAAAAGATCTACCACTTTAAGTCTAGAACCCAAAACATTAAAACATTATGTGAACCTTAAACAAAGATAAATTTTATTCAATAAAAAGTTAAAAAATAAACAAAATTAAAACCAATAAAAGCCAAGACAAGTCCATGTTCCTAAAATTTTGTATTACAAACGATATGTGTATATTTATATTTGTATTTATATGAGTAGTGTTATGAAGGTTACTGAAGAAGGTTTAAACATAGAACCAAAATGCATAAAGGAGGGAGTGCAATATGGGTCGATTTCTTCCCATTGAAAGTAACTTTAATGGAACATAAATTTACATTATATGGGTTATCTAATATATAAAAATAATAATTATATCACTGGTAACCCATTTTGAAAACTGCCCTGTTATATAGCCAAGTGACTCACTGATATGAGTTCTCTAATGATGTAACTAATCCGTGTATGTGTGTGTGTGTGTGTGTTTCTGGTTTACTTTCCATTCGATATTACAAAAAGTGTACAAATACGATTCATTATTCTTCCTTTAAATTTCATGTGAATTTGGAAGATAATATAAATGCCAATTGCATGCATAAGTCAGGAAGGTAGAAATAAAGAATCCGCATTGTTACCTCGTGTACTTATAAACTAAAAATCTTTTATTCTCGATAAAGTCTGGGAATAGGAATAAATTATACTTGAAAAAGTCAGTAAATATATTTTAGAAACACTAATATATCAATGAAATAATATTATAATTGAAATCATAATGATTAAAATACAGATAAAGACCCCACGGCGTCACTTGTGGATTTAGTGACTCAAAATCCTCTTTACTCCACTCTACATTATATCTGGTAGGAAAAATAACTAATGAATAAATGTGTAAATATTTCAGAAACCCTTTATTTAATGTAATCGAAGTATGTTATAATTTATAAAGTTATAATTAAAGTTATAATTTATAAAGTTATAACATAAAGAATTATAATTTATTATTAATGATTTATAACATACTCCAATTACTAAATAAAGGATTTTTGAAATATTTACAGATGTATTCAATGTTTAGTTATTTTTCCTACCAAATATAATGAAAAGTAGAGAGGATTTTGAGTTACTAAATCCACGAGTGACACTGTGGGGTCTTATCTCTATTTTAATCATTACGATTTCAATTATAATAATATTTCATTGATACATTAGTTTCCCTAAAACATATTTACTGACTTATTCAATTGTAATTTATTCCTATTCCCAGACTTAATCGTGAATAAAGTATTTACAGTTCATAAATATATGAAATTCATACATACAATGTGGAGTCTTCATTTCTACTTTTTGACTTATGCAACTGGTATTCTCTTCCAAATTCGTATGAAATCCTCTAAAGGAAGAATATTTAGAATATAAGGAAGTGAATCGCATTTGTAACACTTTTTTAATACCAAATGGGAAATAAACCAGAAACAATTAATTACATTATTAGAGAACTCATATCAGCGAGTCACTTGGCTATATAATAGGGTGGTTTTCAAAATGTTCCCACAGGCTACCAGTGATATAATTATTATTTTTATATATTAGATAACCCATATAATGCAAATTTATGTTTCACTAAAGTTACTTTTAATAGACAGAAATCGACCCAAATTGCACTCCCTCCTTTGTATTGATCATTTCAATCTAGACCTTTATAATAAAACCTTTATAATAAAACCTTTATAAAAAATTTTAGAAACGTGGACATCTTGCCTTGGCTCTTATTGGTCTTAATTTTTATTTAAATTTTATTCAGAGAGCCTTGTATAGTATTGTATTAAAAGTTCAAAAAGTTATAATAAAAAATGTATATTTTTTTAAAAACAGTATTTGAAAAATTGATTGGATAAATTTTACATATGTTTAAGAAATTTTAGGATTAATAAATAAAAATTAATAAATGCATATGTTGATATTTATAATACTGTTATTATTTTCAAAAAACTAATAGAATAACAAAAGAAATTAAAAACTTAACTGGATAATTATTTAGTTTAGCGGCAACACCTCCGATTTTGATGAAAATAGGTTCAATCGACGCGTTTTTGCATGTCAAACAACTTTTTCTTCTGACAAAATCGTCGCTCTCTATTGCGAAGCGAAATATTAATATTTAAAATGATACATTGATAGGGTTAGAAAATCTGTCACATGGACATAATATATTGTAGATGCTAAAACACCGTGTTGTATTAAAAAGTCTATTAATTTGTTACAATCGTTGATTAAAAAATTGGTAATTATCCAGTTACACCGTCTATCTCTAGCTATGTAACTGGAGGGCTTTGCCCCCCAGACCCCAGTATCACGGTGGGGTGGGAGCTACAGTCTTTTGTAAGAAATTCACTCTTTAGCTTAAGCACAAGAGACTATAGCCCCCATCTCCCGTGATACGATGGGTCTGGGGAGCGAAGCCCCGCAGTCACATAGCTAGAGATAGATGGTATGAGATTTTCTAACCTAACGTGCCCTCAACTTTGTCTATTAATATCTCACTTCGTAGTAGAGAGTGACGATTTTGTCAGAGGAAAAAGTTATTTGGCATGCAAAAACGCGTCAATTGAGCCTGTTTTCATCGAAATCAGAGGTGTTGCCGCTAAACTAAATAATTACCCTTAACTGAAAAAAAATTACCTGTTTTAAATATAGTAGGTATAGCATTTCTTTTTAATTTCAAGAGGCCATCTGTTCTATATTGTTCCCACATTTCAGGAGCAAAATGAATCTGTAAATCATACAAATGTACTAAGAAAATAAAGTAATTTATATCAATTAATAATCAATACAAATTTACAATACCTGGCATAACGTTGAATGTCTTGATGGAGTCCAATTTGGGCGATTAACATTATGCACCCATATTGCACATCTTTCTATATCTTTTATCGGAAAAGAACACATTTTATAACCAGTTTTCCATGAATTTGAGCATTCTTGTGCAACACAACTAGGCATTTTATTTCTAAAACAGTTTTTAAAAACTTCTTTAAATTAAAGAAAAAATAAGGCTTATAGAAGCCATATATACTTGAATATTAAGAATATTAAATAGAATAATAACATTTAACAGTATTTGCACTAAAATTCAGCACGAGTCTAATAGGTCTCATTTTTTTCTTAATTAAGCATATGCCTTCTCTTAATTAAGCATATTTAAAATATAGTTTATTTCTTTCCAAATCATATTTATGTATAAGTTTTAAGTTAAGTTTAATTATGAATTTATTATAATAGAAGATTACTAAATACTTACTATTTATAAATATCGCTTGTAATAATTATATAAAATAAATAAGATATAAAAATTATATATAAGCATGCGTTATACTTTAATTATTTTTAGTATATATATTACTTACTGTAACTTTCTTTCTCAACATGAAGGTCTACAAATTCTGATACAAATAAGAACTGCTTCCTGCTGAACTATGACTGCACCAATTGATCAAATCTGCGCTCGGATATACACTACCAGTACCAGAGAAAGATATAAGAGCGGCCACCGGCCTGATTTTAGCGGCCAGAGCTAGGCGCATTTTAGATACGCCATCTTCCTTCTTTCCTTCAATAGGCCTGTTCTTTGTAGTTGCACTGCTGAACTGGTGCAATATATTGAAGTGAAACAAATATACGTTTTCTCACTCTAACTTATTGCACTAGTTCAGTAGTGCAGCTACAAAGAACAGGCCTATTATATGGCTTCCGGCAACTAAACGTCTCAAAGCTATTACCCAGATGATGTCCTTTAAACTTTAGATTGATTGGTTGATATTATAGAGGAATTTATAAATTTCACGGAAGAGTTTAGTATTATTCTTAAACGCTTCTTCATGAATGTTGCAGTTGAAACAGTTGATTCTGAGAAAGTTGATAGTCAGTTTGTCCGATTGCTCTGTCGTGATTGGGCACTTAAATAATACGTAGTCAATATCTCTAGGGATTTCACACTCGCAGGTGGCATCATAGGCTGCGTTCAGATTTCCCACCCGGATGTATTCTATTACTAGAAGTGCTATAGTATATGTAACATATACTATAGTGTTTCTAGTAATAGAGTGCACCCGGGTAGGGAATCTGAACGCAGTCATAAATGATCTCCTTCTCCATGAGATGAGTACCAGTGCAGATATGGTAAGATCTTACCCTAGAGATGGGAGCGTCCCGATTGACCACGGTACAATTGGACACAACCAACCGATGAAAAGAATTATCTAGTGAATTACTAGGTCGAACCAATCATTACAATCTGTGTTCAATCGTATCGTGGTCAATCGGGTCCCATCCCCTAGAGATTAAGGTGATAATACACTGGTCAAGGTTATTCAATCCAAAAAACCATGGGATCTGAGACAGTTGTTGTAGATGATTTCGATAACAAATGTCTTAATTCCAAATTGACCCTCGAGTTCAAGGTGCACCATAACCATCAGTGAGCGTTGTGTATCGGCAATAAGGTCCACAGCAGATTCCTGAGTCATTATAGGGTGCGTTCAGATTCCTTATCCGGGTGCACTCTATTACTAGAAACACTATAGTATATGTGACATATACTATAGCACTTCTAGTAATAGAATACACCCGGGTGGGGAATCTGAACGCAGCCATAGGTGGCTCTGTACTGAGAGCGGCCAATTTAGCTAGTAAGTCCGCCGTATCATTTCCCTCCACATCTTTGTGACCGGGAATCCAGTGATCTGTTCTTTTGCTCTGCACTGCTGCACTGGTGCAATAAGTTAGAGTGAGACAAATATACATTTGTCTCATTCTAACTTATTGCACCAGTGCAGCAGTGCAGAGCAAAAGAACAGATTTCAGATTAGGTTGATATAAATGCTTGAAGAGTGAACATTGTAAATTTTATCCTTAATCAGCCAAATAATATCTTGGTGTTTTCCTTTATAGTCCGTAGCTAATATACTGGACAAAATGCTCTTGGAATCCGAACAAATACCAGCATTTTAATGACCAGATTCCACAATGATCTCAATTGCTCTTAAGATAGCCAGAGCTTCAATATAAAATATACTATAGGACTTGCGGAGTGGAATCGACTCTCTCATTTCAGGGGAGGAACAGAAAATTCCGAACCCGGAGGAGCCATCATCCAGGACTGATTCATCAGTATGAATCACTGTCAGAGACAGACTCATTTTTTCGAGGTAATTAACAACGAGTTTATTTATACTTTTCGTAGATATTTTGCCGTTTCCACCCATCCAAAAATCACCCACTTTATACTTTAATTTAGCAATTAAATCAAACGCATTAAGAAAGATTGAATAATTAAAAAATTGGGATTTAAAGGGCATACTACCCTCCCGGTTTTTTAATAGACCAGCTGATCAATTAAAATACGCTGATTGGCTGGATTCAAGCCTCGTCCCCTACTCCCTAACACCATCTACACAAAAGGGGGGGAGGGGGGCATATAAGGACTACCTTTACCCAAGAGAGCTCAGTATCAGAGTTCTCAGCCCTGATGATGCAAACTGCAACGTTTGCGAAACGTCGCCCTTATAGAAATATCATACTAAAAATCATTGATAATTACTTATTATCCAGTATTTTTAATACTGAAAATAAGTAATTATCAATGATTCTTAGTATGATATTTCTATAAGAGCGGCATATCGCTGATTCAAGATACGGCTCCATTCCGGAAGCTATACCTAGACATTTTCCATAATATTTATTGTAAACAAAAAATTAATATTTTGTAAATATTTCTATAAATATTGCACATGAAAAAAATAAATATAATTATTTATAATTATTAAATTAATAAAGAAATAAGAAAATCGAAATTTAAATTGGTAATGTATATTAGAAAAAAATTCTTTAAGTGAAAGAAATATATTTTGTTACATATAATTTCTTAACTTAAAAAAATATTTGTTAAATTTTAGAAAATATATAATAAATATAAAGAAATATTTTTTTAAATTTGTAAAATAAGCTGTAAAATTATGAATTTATAAATAAAAAAAGTGATTTCTTTGATTTAAAATATCTATATATGTAAGAATAAACAAATAATTTCTTTACAAGGGGAAAATTAGTGTTTTTCAATGTAAAAACTATTTAAATAAATATTTGCTTGTTTTAGTAAATAAAATACAAGTAAATCATTTTATAAATCTGAATAAATTATTTTCTAATATTAAAAATATTTTTTTATGTTTCAAATTAAAGTTTCTTTTATTATCAGAAAAAAATTTATTTAAATTTACAAAATAATTTATTTTACTTACTTTTAAAACATGTAAATATTTTTTAAATATACTTTCTACATACTTTTTAAAACATATATTTTAAAAGAATCTATTCTCTTCTTTTAAATAAATCATATGCTTTCGTATATGGGTATACCATATGTACACAATATAAAGCGTCTCTCAATCAAAGTGATAGTGACGCAGTACCCTTATAGAAATATCATACTAAGAATCATTGATAATTACTTATTATCCAGTATTTTTAATACTGAAAATAAGTAATTATCAATGATTCTTAGTATAATATTTCTATAAGGGGAGTTCTCCAAAACACTATAATAAAGTATCTTTTCGTTAAATACTTTTCTAGTTATGAGACTTGAAAGTTACATTGGCCACTGGCATTAGCGTTACCCAAAGTGTACCACGCGGAGATTCCTCGGTTGAAGCGCGGAAACGCGGAAACGCGGAAACGCGGAAGACAAAATCTAACTAGATCCGCTACATGTTCTGTGTCTGTTTTGATTGCCTTATATTATATGAGGCATATTTTGGGCGGAAAAGTGGTATGGGGAATTATAAAATATTAATTTTTAACGGTATTTATTAATTAAAATGCTTGTATTCAACAGATAAGCTGAAAGATAAACATATTAGTAAAAATTGCAGTAAATTAAGTTAATACAATTTTAAAAAATAAATACAGATGTTTATTTGTCACCAAAACGTTTCACTTTTCCGCGCAAATTGTGCTCCATGTAATATAAGGAGAAATCAAGTCGCGGAACAAGCGCAGAAGAATCCATTGTCACAAGTTGTCACAAGTTATCATAAGAGGTTTGTTCGCGTCGCATGCTCCACCATGCTCCTGTCAAACTACTCTTAACTTAACCTTATCCGCTTTTATTTTAAAGTAATACATTAGAAGTAGCCATTTTTACTAGTAGCGATATCACAAACGAATCCAGTAGAAAATTCATAGCGGAGTTCAATTCATCGGAAACAGATGTCTCAACTGTTGAGTCTACTGAATGCAGCCATTATGTCAATTTGTGTGCAGCGCCCCTTAGCGAGTAATAAACGGAGCAAGGCGTAGGGTCACTAAAGTTAGGTGCACCCAGCCATCTATAAGTCTTGAAGCTTAGTGAGAAATAATAAAACTATAAATCGCACCGATTGAACATTAGTATGAAAAACTTATTTATTATATTTGTTAAACAACATTATATATACAAGTTATTCTATTCGCATCATATTTCAACAGAACGGTATTTATAATATGTAATAATAGCAATATATGAAATCAAACAAATAAATATTACGTTCGTTGTTTGTAGAGGTTATCTTCAATTCAGTTTTTTATTTTCTCATACAAGCTGACAAACGAAATTTAAAGCATGCTGTCTAATGAGTTTTAAATTTGGTTATAAGATTGGTAATAAGATTTGAGCCTCCTCATACAAGTTGTACGATAATTGGTCATTTCTTAAGGTATATTAAGTAAAAGGACAAGATGGAGGAAGAATACCGAAACAAAATAGATATTGTCAAAAAAGTCACGGAGCCGGTATTCACGGTTTCAAATCCAAGTGTCTACCAGCAGACTTCTCCGCCAGTCTCCTGCACTCGTGAATGGAAGTACATGAAACTGCTAAATGTCATACAGGAGCTCGGTTGTCACATTAAACCTTTTTATGGCGGTAAACGCTATGCGGGGGAAGAAGTTAAAAATTGTATAACGAACGCGCGTAGTCTAATCAAGGATTGCATACTTGAAACTCAGTCAAATGTGATTCTGAGAAGCAAAGAAAACTGATTAGTTGTACTGTCAATGATCCTAATTATGTATAACAATTTAATGTTAATTTATGTTGCAAAATATGTTAATTTATGTTACAAGAACTATAAATTTTTAAAATACCTGAAGTACAATTACGTTAGTGTACAAAAGGATATATTCCAATATTAACAGTATTTGTCCTTCAAGTTTTGACCAATATGGAATATTAAATTATTATTACCACTATAGAATAGTGGACAGAATGTTATTTAGAATTGCAATTTAATTATTGATTTTAATCAAATATAAAGAAAAAAAAAATTATAATATGACTACTTTCATAAAAATTCCATTTTAAATAAATTATCGAATTTTTTTCTTAGTAATTGAACAAATTGCATTCAAATGAAATTAAGGTTGACATCTATTGATAATGTGACAATATTATCGAAAAGTTTAATTAGATACAATAGAAAAAGAGTTGAAAAATTCTTAGAGATGATATATATATATATATATATATATATATATATATATATATATATATATATATATAACATGTGCTTTAAAATATATTAATATTTCATTAACTTAAGATACAAAAAAAGTCCAATTATTTTTTAAGGGATTGCAATGAATCAGTTTTCATATTTTTGGTATTGCTAAGTTTAGGTTAAAATTGTTTCTATTATACATACTAAAGTTACTTATTCTAATGCATATGTCTTGAACTTATTTACATTAATATTATATTTTTTTCATACTTGGAACATTAAATAAAATTTTTATATTAACACTATGTTATAAATTGTAATTAGTTAAAGATATATATAGTTTCATTAAGCATTATAAAAGCCTCCAAGATCTCATAAGTGAGAGTATTTTGAATTATGTATATTCTAAAGAAATGACCTACCTAAAGTCATTGTAACAGCTGGTATAGTAATTCAACAGTGAAGTTATCATAAAGAAGGAATTAATATAAACTATGAACTTTTACATATATCATATCTGTATTTTAAAACTTTGTGATTAGTAATTTTAATTTTTTCTTATAATGTGTGTACATTATTGATTTTTAATTGTTAATATGATAAGAACTTTTTTCCATGAAAACTTTAAATATAATTTAGTTAAATTAAAATTAAGGTACAAGATGCTAATTTCAGTATGATATATATTAAAAATCTTAATTTTAGTTGCAAATATCTCAACTTTCAAATGGCCAAATCTTTCCTAATTGCATAAACAGTTAAATAATATCTCAATAGATATACAACAGTTCCTAATAAATTTATTTCACAAGACAACTGCCTTAAATAGATGAATTTAATATATTTCCCTCTTTGCTTTTAAACATTAGTAAATTATTATATAGTATTGCATGTGCCAAAGAGTACAATAATAAACAGTATTATTATTATCTACTTTATCAGCATTATTATGACTGAGATATTTGTGTTCTATCATTTTTCTTAATAATTTATTAATTTATAAATCGAATAAAAGACACACATATATATATTTAAAGTGTAATATATGCGAAGAAATATATTATATATATATATATGTATATATATATATATATATATATATATATATATATATATATATATATATATATATATATA